GGTGCAGCACACCAACATGGTACAAGTATACATATGTAACAAACCTGCACGTTATGCACATGTACCCTAGAACTTAAAGTATAATAATAATAATACATAAATAAAAAGTCCAAAAACAACAGATGCTGGTGAGGTGGCAGAGAAATGGAAATGTTTTTATGCTGTTGGTGGGTATGCAAACTAGGTCAGTCACTGTGGAAACCAGGTTTGATATTTTTGAAGGAACTTAAAATAGAACTACGAGTTGACCCAGCAATCCCACTATGGAGTATATGTCCCAAAAATATTCATTCTATCAAAAAGACACACACCCCAATATGTTCACTGTAGTGCCATGCACAATAGCGAAGAAATGGAATCAACTTATGTGCCCATCAACAGTGGATTGTATGAGGAAAATGTAAATATACACTGATATGGTTAGGCTGTGTCCCCACTCAAATCTCATCTTGAATTGTAGCTCCCATAATTCCCACATGTTATGGGAGGGACTCAATGGGAGGTAATTTAATCACGGAGGCAGGACTTTTCCATGCTCTTCTCGTGATAGTGAATAAGTCTCTACCAGAGACTTATTGTGAGGCCTTTCCAGTCATGTGGAATTGAGAGTCCATTAAACCTCTTTCCTTTATGAATTACCCTGTCTCAGGTATGTCTTTATTAACAGCATGAGAACAGACTAATACATACACCATGGAATGTTATGCAGCCATAAGAAAGAACAAAAATTATGTCTTTTGCAGGACGATAGATGAAGTGGGAGGCCATTATCCTAAGCAATCTAACACAAGAACAGAAAACCAAATACCACATGTTCTCACTTATAAGTGGGAGGTAAGCATTAAATACACAAGAACTTAAAGATGGGAACAATAGACACTGAGGATCACTAGATGGGGAAGGGAGGGAAGGGATGTGGGCTGAAGAACCATCTGCTGGGTAATATGTTTACTGTCAGTGTGATGGAATAGCTGGGACCCCAAGCCTCAGCGTTATACAACTTACCTATGTAACAAAACCTGTATTTGAACCCTTTAATCTATAATGAAAGTTGACAAAAAATCTTGTAGAACTCTATAGGTTAGTAACTGTTCAAAAAAAAAGGCCTAATTCTTATTTGTAATTAGGTTATTGTCATTTCAATGGGGGATACTGACAGAGGAGAAAAAAAGAATATTTCTTATCTGCAGCATAAGCAAAAGTCCTTAAAAGTAAATTTCTAAAGTAAAGTTGTACATAAAAGATACAATTATTGGCCCCCTTCAAAAAAATCTTATTTTGTCCAACACCAATTTCATGGAAACTGTCTCAGATACATATTCTGCCTAAATGGAACATTCTTTAGGTACCTCTTCTAGTAAACAGAATTACCTTCCTTATAAATCTAACTTTTTAGAATACTTAGCAGACTAGGAATTTTCTCAGGCAGACTCGCTACATTTCTAGGATTACCATTTATCTTTCAATAAGTGGAGTTTCCAATTTCCCTACTCCAGCATTCGAACCTGAAATTTTGAGAATGAGAAAAGTTATCTTCAAAAACATACTTGCTATTTAAAAATGGGCTACTCATAATAAAACCAACATGTAATCTTGTCTCTTCCTGCCATAAATTATTATCTGTTTTTTTCAGAGATGCCCTACCCACCTTGGACCAGAGCTCTATTGCTTTTGCTACTGCTGTCTGTCTTCATTTCTCTCAGTTATCTTCCTCTACTGTGCAAACATGCCTCTTTTCCCTTTTTTTTTTTTTTCTTTCTGAGACAGAGTCTCACTCTGTTGCCCAGGCTAGAGTGCAGTGGCACAATCTTGGCTCACTACAACCTCCACCACCTGCGTTCAAGCGATTCGGGTGCCTCAGCCTCCCGAGGAGCTGGGATTACAGCCGTGTGCCACCATGCCTGGCTAAGTTTTGCATTTTTACTAGAGACGGGATTTGGCTATGTTGTCCAGGCTGGTCTTGAACTCCTGGCCTCAAGTGATCCACCCACCTCAGCCTCCCAAAGTGCTGGGATTACAGGTGTGAGCCACCATGCCAGGCCAAGATATCCCATTTTAATCACACCATTAGTTTGGAACAGATTACAGCTGGGAGCAGAGTTTAAGTAATGAAGCTTCTCTAAGAGAAACAGGAAGGAGGACACTAGCAACACCTTCCCAACATCTTTTCTGAAAGTCAATTAACTCTTTATCTGTGATCATACCTGTGACCTCTGGGTGCTTCAGCAGGAGAAGGAGAGCATATCTCAGGGTTGTGCTTGTCGTCTCTGTCCCAGCTGTAAACAAGTCAACTGCAGTGTTTTCCAAGTTTTCAATAGTAAATTCAGACTGCTGGTTGTGCTTTTCCTAGGAATGATTTGATGCAATTATCTGACAAATTATTTACCAGCATGTTTGATTACAGTGAGTTCAAAATTACTCACATTGTTATATAGTTACCAATACAGAAACTGGAAAGCATACTACTAGAAAAAAAATACTGTATGGTGTAGCAGAAGCTGTAAACCAACTTGCCCAAATTTTATTTTCTACCCCCTTATTCCATGCTTGCCTAAAAATTCCATTCATCAGGCTCTTTGCAGCTAGCAGAGTCACACAGCATTTTTTGTTTGTTTGTTTTTTTCCCAAAAGATATAAGCAGAAGGTCTCTAGGTCCACTTTCATTTCCTCTTTCATACTCAAAACACAAATGTGAAGTAGGAGGTAGAATAGACCCCATTCTGGGATTTAATCATGAAAATGAAGGTCTGTATACTAAATTTAGTGGGGAAAAAAGGAAGGCCCTTGACTCTCTGATGCTTTGGGGTTGCTGTATTATCCCTAGATTGCCCCACCGTGAGATTCCCTGTATTTGAGATATATAAAGACATTATGTGATAAAGCCATTATTACCTGTAGACAACTACAATCTAAATTAGTAAAAAGGTAAATTAGGGCCATATCATTAGATACTGTGAGCCTGAATCAAGAGTCTGCAATTATCTTCTTCTGTCAGAAAGGTACATGGACTCAATATTGCCTCCAGATTCATTATAAAGTTAAAATTTTGTAAAAATAAATATGAAAAAAGCAATATGACAGCAAAACCTAGGATAAATTATAGAGAAAGAGAATGGGTTTACAATGACAAGACGAGCCCACACTATTATAATCAAGATGGGAGGCAACAGACAACTTTTTCTAGGGTGCAGTAGTGCAGGAATAAATAAAAATATACAAAATGAAGAGAAAGGACAATGATGAATATGGAGAATAAAGGGATTAATTGTCACAGGGGATAAAGGAGAGAGGGAGGGTAATGCATATGCCACGGCTCAAAGACTGGAGTTTCCATAATTTGGAAGTTAGGAGAAAGAAAGCAACGAATAAGGAATACTTAGTTGAAAGAGATCATCAATATACAAAACATATTACTTTTTAACCAGTCTCTAGGCCAGTAATAAATTAATTACATTTTCAGAGTCTCCAAGTGACATGTGTCACGTTGAATATTGTTTAATCAACACCACTGAAATAGACTAGATCCTCTCAACATGTCTACTTACTAGATGAAGACAGTCCTCTCCCTTGGTAACATCAGCTTCACACAGTTTTCTAAGCTTGTCATGTTAAAAATTACTCTTACGTAAGAACAGTGCACTCACAAACCAGTATTAACATTTCCATCTGTTGACTTGAGCTTGGTTATTTAGCAGTTATGTGCCTATCCTACCTTATTAATGATAGTAGCCATATTCTACTTGCTGGGCTCAAATCTAAAGAGCATCCCTCTACCTCAAAGGCAGGCCAGGGCATTGTCCTGCACCTCACCCTCAGAAACAGACTCACAGCTACAACTCAGTCTGTGGGCTTCAGCTGCTAGGGTGTGCTATAGAGTTACAGATCTTGGCTCTGTGGGCAATCTACATTCAACCCTGCCACAGAGAGTGAACCTGTACCCCAAGACCCAGGTGTCACAGTACCTGATTAAAAGATCTTGAGTCTAGAGTAATGCTTCTATGACAACTTCAAGGACATATACCTGTAACCCAGCACCAATGCAGCTGCATGTATGCCATGTCAGAGTTGACATCAAAAGGAATCCCTTAGGCTAAGTCACCCCAATTTTAGGAAAATAAAAATAGGACACCCAAATACTTTGACACCAGGGATATTAACAACCTACACTACTCCTGACACTGCTGCAAACTTCTACAGCCTAGGCCACCGAGGCACCCAAAACTATTCCTGATGTTGACCACAGCTAGATAAACTACACAGATACTATCACACGGCATCTATTCAAAAACTGACTTACCCACTCTTCATCACCTGCACACAAACACTCAACTTCAGATGAAAGTCTTCCTTTATGAAATCCACTCTAGAAACTGGAATAGCCATTGTCCCACCATATGCATAGACATCAATGCAGGGACAAAACATGAAAAATCAAGAAATATGACACCACCAAAAAGACGTAATAACTCTCAAATAACAGAACTCGATGAAAATAAAATCAACATATATTCAAAAAAGAAACTCAAAATAATTACCTTGAAGAAACTAAATCAGGGGGGTGGCTGGCAAGATGGCCGAACTGGAACAGTTTCCATCTGCAGCTCCCAGCAAGATCAACAAAGAAGGTAAGTTATTTCTGCATTTCCAACTGAGGTACCCAGCTCCTCTCATTGGGACTGTTTAGGCAATAGGTGCAGCCCACAGAGGGCAAGCCAAAGCAGGGTTGCGCGTCACCTCACCCGGGAACCCCAAAGGGTCAGGGAACTCCCTCCCCTAGCCAAGGGAAGCAGTGAGGGACTGTGCCATGAAGAATAGTGCACTCTGGCCCAGATACTATGCTTTTCCCATGGTCTTTGCAACTTGCAGACCAGGAGATTCCCTCAGGTGCCTACACAACAAGAGCACTGGGTTGCAAGCACAAAATTGGGCACCCATTTGCACAGACACAAAGCTAGCTGAAGGAGATTTTTTTCATACTCCAGTGGCACCTGGAACACCAGTGAGACAGAACTTTTCACTCATCTGGAAATGGGGGCTGAAGCCAAAGAGCCAAGTGGTCTTGCTCAGCAGATCCCATCCCCATGGAGCCCAGCAAGCTAAGATCCACTGGCTTGAAATTCTCGCTGCCAGCACAGCAGTCTGAAGTTTACCTGGGATGCACGAGCTTGGTGGGGGAAGGGGCATCCACCATTACTGAGGCTTGAGTAGGTAATTTTCCCCTCACAGTGTAAACAAAACGGCTGGGAAGTTCGGACTGGCCAGAGCCCACTGCACCTCAGCAAAGCAGCTGTAGCCAGACTGCCCCTCTAGATTCCTCCTCTCTGGGCAGGGCATCTCTGAAAAAAATGCAGCAGCCCCAGTCAGGGGCTTATAGGTAACACTACCATCCCATTGGGGCAGAGCACCTGGGGGAAGGGGCAGCTGTGGGTGCAGCTTCAGCTGACTTAAATGTTCTGGCGTGCTGACTCTGAAGGGAGCAGCAGATCTACCAGCACAGTGCTTAAGCTCTACTAAAAGACACACTGCCTCCTCAGGTGGATTCCTGAGCCCCATGGCTTCTGATGGGAGACACCTCCAAGCAGGGGTTAACAGACACCTCAGAAAGGAGATCTCTGGCTGACATCTGGTGGGTGCCCCAATGAGACAAACTTCCAGAAGACGGAAGAGACAGCAATCTTTGCTGCTCTGCAGCTTCCGCTGGTGATACCCAGGCAAACAGGGTCTGGAGTCAACCTCCAGCAAACCCCAGCAGACCTGCAGCAGAGGGGCTCGACTGTTAGAAGGAAAACTAACAAACAGAAAGCAATAGCATCAACACCAACTAAAAGGATGTCCACACAAAAACGCCATCTGAAGGTCACCAACATCAAAGACCAAAGGTAGATAAATCAATGCAGATGAGGAAAAACCAGTGCAAAAAGGCTGAAAATTCAAAAAAACAGAACACCTCTTCTCCTCCAAAGAATCATGACTCCTCACCAGCAGGGAACAAAACAGGACAGAGAATGAGTTTGATGAACTGACAGAAGTAAGCTTCAGAAGGTGGGTAACAATAAACTCCTCTGATAGAAAGGAGCATGTTCTAACCCAATGCAAGGCACCTAAGAACCTTGAAAAAAGGTTAGATGAATGGCTAACTTGAATAACCAGTTTAGAGAGAAGATAAATGACCTGATAGAGCTGAAAAACAAAGCACAAGAACTTCATGAAACATACTTAAGTATCAATTGCTGAATCGATCAAGTGAAAGAAAGGATATCAGAGATTAAAGATCAACTTAATGAAATAAAGCCTGGACACAAGATTGGAGAAAAAAATGAAAAGGAATGCACAAAGCCTCCAAGAAATATGGGACTATTTGAAAAGACCAAACCTACATTTGATTGGTGTGCCTGAAATTGATGGGGAAAAGGGAACCAAGTTAGCACACACTCTTCAGGATGTTATCCAGGAGAATTTCCCCAACCTAGCAAAATAGACCAACATTCAAATTCAGAAAAAACAAAGACCACCACAAAGATACTTCTCGAGAAGAGTAACCCCAAGACACATAACTGTCAGATTCACCAAGGTTGAAATGAAGGAAAAAATGTTAAGGGCAGCCAGAGAAAAAGGTCGGGTTACCCACAAACGGAAGCCCATTAGACTAACAGTGGATCTCTCTGCAGAAACCCTATAAGCCAAAAGAGAGTGGAGGCCAATATTCAACATTCTTAAAGAAAAGACTTTTCAACCCAGAATTGTATATCCAGCCAAGCTAAGCTTCAAAGTGAAAAAATAAAATAAAATCCGTTACAGACAAGTAAATGCTGAGAGATTTTGTCACCACCATCTTGCCTTACAAGAACCCCTGAAGGAAGCACTAAATATGGAAAGGAACAACTGGTACCAGCCACTGCAAAAACATACCAAATTGTAAAGGCCATTGACACTATAAAGAAACTGCATCAACTAGTGGGCAAAATAACCAGCTAGCATCATAATGAAAGGATCAAATTCACACATAACAATATTAACCTTAAATGTAAATGGACTAAATGCCAAAGTTAAAAGACAGAGACTGGCAAATTGGATAAAGAGTCAAGACCCATCAGTGTTCTGCATTCAGGAGACACATCTCACATGCAAAGACACACCTAGGCTCAAATTAAAGGGATGGAAGAAGATTTACCGAACAATTAGAAAGCAAAAAAAAAGCAGGGGTTGCAATCCTAGTCTCTGATAAAACAGACTTTAAACTAACAAAGATTAAAGAAAAAGACAAAGAAAGGCATTACATAATGGTAAAAGGATCAATGCAACAAGAAGAGCTAACTATCCTAAATGTATATGCACCCAATACAGGA